ATTTAGCCAGTAAAATTATACTGAATTACATTGCCAATTTTCCACTATATCGGCAGACTTATAAAGAAACGAGTAACTCAAGTTATATCTAGTCAGGCCCTTAATCACAAAAACAATAATACAACAAATACGTACCAATAGTAACTGGAATGAATCATTGAATCTTGTTACACGAGGTACAAAAGTATTACCTGCAGTAAAGAAATTTCTGTATGGATAGTGGATCTTGGTACCCCAGCAACTTGAGCTTTTAGAAAGAGTTCTGAACTGCATCGAGTCAAGTTCAAGCATGAACACGCCAAAATCCATAGCCAGAACAAGTGCATTTGATTCCTCGTCGTATCCCACCAGATGTGCCTCATATCCCACCAGATATTCCTCTTGGAGCTCTAAAATATGAAGTTTCCAATTGAAAGTTTTTCTGAAGAAGCACCCATTCAACAACGCCATCATAGTTTGATTTCCTCTCCCACAGTTGGATGCTCGAGTTTGACATTACTGCCAAGCCAAGGCCACTACCATTATCTGTCCGTAACAGCTGGAAGTTCGAGTGGTTTGGACGAGGGGCGCATGCTGGCTTCTTAATCAAACCAAGGCTCTGCCGTTCAATATCAAATACCAGGATATCACCTCTCTGAAATAACCAATAAAATGCATTTCCAGTGAGAATGCTAGAGCTCGTTGTTAGAATCAAGTCTCTAGCGTACGTCGAGACAACATCTCCCCACCCACCAGACGCTGAATCGTAGAGGCAGGCATATGTCAGAACAGTACTGAATGCGTCTGACTGTCCGCTGCAGATAAGCACCAACTTAAACGGGCTCGAGAAACAATCGCCATGAATGTGCCCCTCCTCCGTATCAGCACACAGCACCGCGGTGTGCCACTGCCAGATTATGAACTCCCCGTCTTCGTTGAAGCTTTCGGCGCGGAGCTCCTGTGGAAAAGACACGCGGTGCTGCTGTCCGGTCAGGGGGTCCCACACAACTACCTTGCGCAGGCTCTCATTGAGCAGGACAGCGAGCCCATGGCGGCAGCCCAAGAAGCAGGGGCGGAGCCAGAAATTTTCGCCAATGGATTCATTCACTAACTAGTTGTGATTTTTTTTAATGAACTTAGTCCTATTTTGTGACAAATTGCAACGAGATTATATCAGTCAAAGAAAGCACAATGAATATGATATCACTTATCACACATATTTGTCACTTCAAAAAAATAAGAGTGCATAACATACCGACCGGATGAAATTATAAAATCACTTGCTTACATATTATAGATAAAAGTAGTACCAAAATAAACTTCATATTTTAGAGCCAACTTCTCATCTTTCTGAAAACAGTGAAGAAGATAACAAGTTAGTTTGGCAAGTTTAAAATAAAAGTGATATCATGTGAAAGAATCATGTAAAGTCACTCACATTTAGAGCTTCCCTTTTCGATCTTTTATCGCCTTAAAAAGATCAAACACAGCATCATTACTAATGGGAGAAAACATCTCTTTCTCCACATAGCAAATTAGACAATCACTCATGAACTGATCACCAATTTTGTTGCGCGACTTTTTCTTGACAACATTCATAGCTGAAAAGCATCTCTCCACGGATGCTGTTGCAACTGGTAATATCAATACTAACTTTAGAAGATGATAGACCAAGGGAAAAGTAACATGTTTATTTGTCTGCACCATTAACTTCGCAAGATCAGCAATCCCGTCCAAATTAGCAAACCTTTCATCCGCTCGCACATTATCAATGTAAGTGCGCAGTTCAGGACCAAGATCATCCATTTTTTTGAATCAAAATCATCTGGATAAAACTCAGCTAGCTTCACTAAGCTATCCAAGTTAAAAGCAACAAATCCATCGTTTGGGTTGAAAGAAGCCATGTGACCAAGTAATGCAGAATTTACCTCATTGAAACGGTCATCAAACTCTTGAAGTTGCCAGTCAATAACAGAATTAAGACACTCTACTCGGTAATGCTGGAGGTTTGTCTTATTAGTTTTTTGTCTTGGTTTGTGTCGATTGATATATTGCTCCTGCATGTCCGCCTTCTCAATGTGATGTTCTTCACAAAATGAATATGTCTTCTGTATCAGTGAGTCCCATCCATTCTCCCTTAGTTCTTGTAGCTCATTCCTTGTGGACTTGACACATGACATGGCATTTAGGATGTCTTGATCCTTCTTTTGTAAAGAATGTGACAAAGTATTTGCATTTCCTAATATATGCAGCATCATGTGCAAATAAAACACAAAATCAAAGGTCTCAAAATATGCTACAAGACCACGCGCCTGACTTTTCTTTTCATTTTTACCTTCTTTCTCCACATATTTCAGAACAGACATGACTGCAGGGAACAACTTCACTAGACTTGAGAGAGTTCTGTAGTGTGAGCCCCAACGAGTGTCACCAGCTCTCTGAAGAGTTTGATCTTGATTTAACCCTCTGCCAGTGCTAATCTGCCCACTACCTATGGCTTTTATTACATCCTCTCGATGTTTCTCTCTAATCATGTCCTTTCTTTTGCAAGAAGCTCCAACCACATTAAATAAAATGGAGATCATGTAGAAAAAATCTGAAATATCTTCATGCTTCTTTGCTACAGCTACAATAACCAACTGGAGTTGGTGAGCAAAACAATGCACATAATAGGCTGATTTATTCTCTTGCAAAATCTTTGCTTTCAAGCCATTGAACTCGCCGCGCATATTGCTAGCCCCGTCATAACATTGTCCTCTGACTTGTTTTATGCTTAAACCAAGATCGGTGAATAATTTTTGAAGTGCGGCCTGAAGACATATTGCCGATGTTTCTTGCACATGTACTACTCCAACTAATCGTTCAATGATAAATCCATGCTTGCTAAGATATCTCAAAACAACTGCCATTTGCTCTTTGTCAGACACATCAGCAGCTTCGTCAATCAACAAACTAAACACATCACCTCCAATTTCTTCAATAATAGAATTCAAAGTTATCTGTGCAAAACAATAAGGGCATCATTAGAGATTAGTGTAACTTGTAAGACAACAAAAAATAGTAGGAAATATAATTTAACGATGATGTTACCTTGGCAAAATAGTTGGCAATTTCCTTCTGAATATCTCCACATACCCACTTGCAATTTTGTAGAGCATTCTCAAGAGCTACTTTTCGTATATCATCATTTTGATTTGCCAAAGTTTTTACCAACTCTCGAAAGTTTCCCTTATTTTTTGACTCTTCTGTTTCGTCATGGCCTCGGAAAGCTAAGCCTTGATGCAACAAGTATCTAACAGAATCAATTGAAGCATTAAGCCGAATTCGATTTTGTTTTTTTGTAAGATCAGTTTGCTTATCGAGAGCTACCCGAATTGATTGATCTTGATTCATGAAAGCATCACACCGTTTTACTGCTACATTATGAAAGCTGTTAACATTACCTTTACCCTCGTGGGTATCCAGCCTACTTTTCTTGTTTCAACCGTTCCAACCATTAATTCCAAATGCATCACTCCCAGCTTGTTCCTCATTATTATCTCTGAAAAGATAACAACATAAACAAAAGGCCTTATGCACCTTATCACTATACTCAAGCCAACGACCATAATCTTTAAACCAGTCTGGATTAAATCTTCGTTGTGTATCTCCAATGTCCCTGTGTGGATAAACAAAAGTAGACGGCGGCCTGTAAGGTCCCCTTGTTAAATATCGTCGCCTAATCTCATCTTGTTTCTTAGGATTTCTTGTGTACTCCGGAATTCTCTTCCGATCAACCGGATCGTAGGGCAATTCATCTAAATTAATCTCTTTGTGGATAGAAGGCTTTGGGAGACTACTTGCAGCGACATTTGATGCAGTTTGCTTACATCTGATGGGTGACCTCGATGTCCCCCCATCATTATCTGGGTCAGGTGATCGACTTCTCTTTTTGGAAAAATATCTTTCCATAGCCTGCATCAATGAAAGTCCATGAAAATAAGAATTAGAAAATTAGGGCAAAAAGCTCCCGTACTAGGCTATTAGATTTAGATTGGGTAGAACGTACGGAGGGAAGAGATGTGGAGGTGATATTACTGCCTTGAATTGGACTGCAGTTGAGCGGAGCGCTTCGACACTATTTGCCGTCGGGCGTCGGCGTCGAGATGAGGCGAGGCGGCGGAGAGAGAGGCGAGGCGAGTTGGAAAGCTACGAGGCGTGCGGCTGCCGTCCGTGTATTCCTCGTACAGGTATTGATTGATCTTCTTTTTTTAGATGTCGTACATGTATTGATCTAGGACTAGTAACGAAGATGCCTGGGCTTTTGGGCCTTTTATTTGTCTAATCATGTGGCGTTAGCAGCTTAATGGGGTCAGACTTAATTTTTTATCGGGGTTAAGCCTTATATGTCGTACATGACATGCACGTAGGTAGCGAATCTCATTGGGTTCATCTGAACCCAATGGTTCAACGCTGGCTCCGCCACTGCCAAGAAGCTCCAGAAGTAGGAGGGTCTGCTGCTCTTGGGCACGGCAAAGCGCTCGGTGGGGATGGGGATGCTGTTGGGTTCCGTGTCGGGGAAAGGAACGAAGTTGAGCCCCGTTACATCAAACCCAGCAAAGAAGCCCAATAGAGGAGCCTTCCGGTGGTGTTTGCGGTAGCATGCTGTGAACTTCTGATCGGAGAGGAGGCTGTGCCAGCGCTTGCAGACAAGGGAGGCGTGGGGGAGGGAGGACGGCTGACGAGGGAGGTGGAGGATGATCACCTCCAGGAGGTCATCACTGTCCAGCGGGGTTGCTGGCACTTGTGAGGAACTTATATTGTCGTCATCGAGGACCTCAGATATGTATTCAGCTGATGCTGTGGAACACAGCAGCCTCTTGGCAGTTCCAAGAAAGTCACCATGCATTCCTCCAGGCATACCACCGCCAGGGAAACCACAAGGCATGCCTCCACTTGGTGACTGCTCGCTCCTCTTTGCCTTCTCATAAGCAGCCTGTTGAAAGCACACGGCACGAATTCAGATCTAACCATGACCAACATTATGCCTGAGCTCCAACCAGAAGTAGAAATTTTAGTACTATGAAGAATGACCTGTGCCTCAGCACGTCGACGAAGCCGGTCACGCTCAGATTTCTTGTCATTCCTCTCTTTCCAGAGCCTGTCATACTTCCTGCGGTGCTCCACTATCTTGTGTGCATTAGGCTCCACCTGCAAGATGGGAAATCACGATCATATAAGCATGTAATGTAACATGCAGGGAGAATTAACATAGCTACTGAAGAAATACTCCACCTTCTTGAGGGTAGCTTTGATCTCATCATTGTAATCAATGTTTGACGCGGCATGCAGATCACGAGCAGCTTCCTCCCACTTGCCCAGCATAGAATTAGCCATTCCACGAGTCTTGTAGCCTTTTGCAGAGTCAGGGTTGATCTATAAGAAATACAAGGATATTAAGTTACAGGGCATCATACTTGCAAGTTAGAATCAGCATAAGTATTGTATCCTTTGTATCCAATTTTGCCACTAGACCAGATAAAGCATAGTTGCAAGAAAGTGACAGATAGAGAAATAGGCGACAGTAGGATGGGTGAGTTACATACTTACACTCATCCTGCTACAAGTTAGAATTGATGTAAGTAATGCATTACTAACCATCCTTTTAATTTCAATTCTTCCCTTGACCTCTATGTCTATATCACTATATAGTGTACGAATAACTTCAAATATTAATTGTTGGATGAAGCCAATCCGACGGTAGAGATGTGGCAAATCCAAGCACTATTGGCCATTGGACATCCTCTTCACGCTACCTGATTCTGCCACATCTATTATCTAGAAGATTCCGTGGTTGGTGCACAAACTTAAAAAGGTACTTCTTCTTTGTTCTAGAATACTCTGTATTTTAATTCTTTAATTGTTTTCTTTCTAACTAAATTATTGTAATTTTTTACTTTAATGTATAAACTTCAAATCATAGACAATTCTCTTTGTTCTAGACCCTTTCATGCATTTTCTTTCAAAAAAAGAGCTATTCAATTTTTTTATGATTATTTGAATTTCAAGCCTATAATAGCGCTTTCATAAAGTAAATTGGTCTTTGAAGATTCAATACTAGCTACTCAAAACTGCAATATGAGATACTTAAAAAGTTAAAAGCAAACTTGTTGGATATATTTCACGTGAGATTTGTGTTGTATATACCCTGCGGTCTTCAACATACTTTTTAGGTATAATTTCAGTTTCAATGGGATGAACTACGAGAATTAAATCTACATCTTATATGTTAGCTAGGTATATATAACTCCAAACTCACATGTATGCATGTTATAATGTGGCATGGCGCGCAATACACGTGCATACTTCAGTTATCTATGCTCCCACATGTAATGCATGTGTACCTTACTAGTAGTGCATGAAAATGAGCGAGAGAAAAATAATATGGAATAAAAGGGGAACATAGTTTTCACCTGTAGCAGCAGCAGATTTCTTCATTTTATTGAACACAGATGCTGCATTAAAACACAAAGATTCCATAAATTTAATCAATTTGTGCTGCTAGTGAGTAGTGACATAGCAGCAAGTCCCTCTGTTTTGATACGGAGGGAGTATTTGATTAGAGAGAGTGGATTCAAATTAAACACAAGGATGTTTTGTACAGTTACATAAGGAAGGAATGTGTAAGTGGGCTCTATATTATACCTCTAGTAGCATACATCATTGCAGAGGTTGGATTCAGGAGGATTGCCTTGGTAAGATGCTCGACAGCTTCTTGCAGTTTCCCTGACAATTAAAACCGTGCACAGCGCACACATGGGCGGATCAGAAAACAAAAATGGTAATCGAGTCTAATGCAATCGGGAACCAGGCTACCTTCTGATATTGCCTCCGTCGCCATGCCCTTTTCTTTCTGGGATGCATCGCGACTCTCCTCAGTCACCTCGAACGAAGGATCCCCCATCTTCTGGGGAGCGTCGCTGTGGTCGGGCTGGACGACGTCCCCCTCCAGCTCGAGATCGGACTCGACGATGTCCGCGTCGAGCTCGTCGGTCTCCACGGTGGGGTCCCGCATGTCCGTGCCGTCCTCCTCGTTGATCGGAACAGAAATCAAGGGAGTGGGGTGGGTAGGGACCTTGGGGCCGGATTTGGCAGCTGCGGCGGCGGGGAGGTCGGCGCCGAGACTGGTGAGGTAGTCCCGCAAGAAGGCGAGGCTGGGGTCGACGAGCAGCGCCGGGTCCTTCTTGCAAGCCTCCACGAAGGCCCGCAGCTCGCCCACCCACGACATGTCCATCCTCCTTTCGTCTCCTAGCTCGCCCTCCCTATCCAGGGTTTGGGGTTTCTGCTCTCTCGCACTAGACTAGATCAGGGGAGAGATCGGGCTCCATCTTACCATAATTTGGTAGTAGTAGTTTCTAACCCATTCTAGTGACAAGTGGACCAGTGAGTGGTTTACAACCAAGCCTGGCCAAGTGGGCCGGCACGCCACGGCCGGCGGACGCTTAAACGTGCCAGGCACGACAAAGCGGGCGCCCCTATTCCTCGCCTTCTGCGAGAATTTTTTTTGGGAGCGAAGGACACTTTATTGATTAATTGGAAAGTTTAAAGGAATACAAAGAGGGTCAAGTTTTTTTTAAGACATCAAAGAGGGTCATGTGGATAGCCTAGTTAAGAGAAACCAAAAATTTAAACTCTCGAGGGGAAGCTATTGCAGGAGCTTCTAAGCTAATTGACCATGTTCTTAATGCCCAAACTGCTGAAACTTTGGCACTGCTGCGAGGTTTGAAGCTACTTTCAGAGATTGGGTGCACCAAGGTGACAGTCAAATCAGATTGTCTAGAACTGATTGAAGCATGCACTGGAAGCATTGAGATGTTAGGTCCCAATGCAACAATACTTGTGGACTGTTTTCATATTGCTCATGAAATTCCTGGAATTTGTTTCAAGCATTGTCCAAGAAAAGCTAATGGATTGGCACATTTTCTGGCTAGGTACTCTTATGATGTTAAGTCAAGTTTTGTTTGGGCAGATGTTGCTCCCAGTTTTTTACTTTCTCTTGTACTCAGCGATGTAACACTGCCACAATCTAAATAAAGTGCCATGAGGCTTTCCTTTAATTTTTTTTAATCAAGCTATGAGCTTCTTTGTTTGTGTCCCTACCTTTGAAGATGATATCACATGCTTCAGAAAGCAGTTGATTCCACATGGGACGCCTCGTGTCGGGGGGCGCCCAGATTGGCTGGCCCAGCCCCTCGGAAGGCAAAGGCCTGTTTTTTTGTTTTATGTTCTCATTTTTTGCTTTATTTTTTAATTTTATTTATGTTTTAAAATATCTACATATATATACAAAAAACACTCTTCAAACACACATTTCAAAAGTTGAACAAGTATTTGATTTTTTTTAATTAGTATTAGAAAATGTAAAGTAACTATTTGAAAAATGTTAAACAAGTATTTGAAATTTTTCAATAAATATGAAAAATATTGAACACATATTTTAAAAATATTGAATAAGTACTAACAATTGTTGAACTAGTATATGAAAAATGTTGAACAAGTATTTGAAAATATTGAATAAATATTTGAAATGTTGAATAAATATTAAAAAATATTGAACAACTATTGAAAAATGTTGAACAAGTATTTGAAAAAAACGTTAATCAAGCATTCAAAATAATAATGTTGAACGAGTATTTAAAAAATGTTGAACAAGTATTTCAAAAAATGTTGATCATGTATATAAAAATGTTGAACAAGTATCAAAATAAATGTTGACAAGTATTTGAAAAAAATATTGATCATGTATATAAAAATGTTGAACAAATATTTGAAATGTTGAACATGTATTTGGAAAAATGTTAAACAAGTATTTGAAGGAAAAACCAAAAAAAAGAAACCCATGGAGAATAAAAACCAAAAACAAAACAAAAAATGGAAAAGGAAAAAAGTAAACTAAGCAAAAAATGAAGAAGAAAAAGAAAACAAAAATGATGAAAAAACAAAAAAAATCGTGAAAACAAATGGAAAACCGGCTTCACTCGCGTCAACAACGGGTTGCCTCTCAGTCTTATCTCATGTTGGACTGTGGGTGAGTGGATAGCAGCGCTAAATCTCCCATAGAAGAGCAGGGATTGATTCCTACATATTATTTTCCGCTTGGTTAATCTTTTCTTTTTGCGGAAAATAGGGAGATTTCATAACTCAAGGCGGCTTTTCAGTCGTACACAAGTTTACAGCTTCGTATGTGTCCATACCAAACCAAATGGCAGTATGGGGTGTACTACGCCCGTAGGCTGCGAGGCTATTGATACGTCTCCGTCGTATTTATTTTTTCAAACATTTTTGCCCTTGTTTTGGACCCTATCTTGTATGATTTGAATGGAACTAACCCGGACTGACGCTGTTTTCAGCAGAATTACCATGGTGTTGTTTTATGTGTAGAAAACAAATATTCTCGGAATGACCTGAAACTCCACGGAACATCTTAGAAAAACAATAAAAAATCCTCGCCAAAGATGAAGACCAGGGGGCCCACACCCTTCTCACGAGGGCGGGGGGCGCGCCCCCTACCTCGTGGCCCCCCTGTTGCGTCTCCGACTCCAACTCCACCTCCATATATTGAATTTCGATGAGAAAAAACAGAGAGAAGAAATCATCGCATTTTACGATACAGAGCCGCCGCCAAGCCCTAAAACCTATAGGAAGGGCTGATCTGGAGTCCGTTCGGGGCTCCGGAGAAGGGGATTCGTCGCCGTCGTCATCATCAACCATCCTCCATCACCAATTTCATGATGCTCACCGGCGTGCGTGAGTAATTCCATCGTAGGCTTGCTGGACGGTGATGGGTTGGATGAGATTTATCATGTAATCGAGTTAGTTTTGTTAGAGTTTGATCCATAGTATCCATTATGTTTTAAGATTGATGTTGCTATGACTTTGCTATGCTTAATGCTTGTCACTAGGGCCCGAGTGTCATGATTTCATATCTGAACCTATTATGTTTTCATGAATATATGTGAGTTATTGATCCTATCTTGCAAGTCTATAGTCACCTACTATGTGCTATGATCCGGCAACCCCGAAGTGATAATAATCGGGACCACTCCCGCTGATGACCATAGTTTGAGGAGTTCATGTATTCACTATGTGCTAATGCTTTGTTCCGGTTCTTCATTAAAAGGAGGCCTTAATATCCCTAAGTTTCCAATAGGACCCCGCTGCCACGGGAGGGTAGGACAAAAGATGTCATGCAAGTTCTTTTCCATAAGCACGTATGACTATATACGGAATACATGCCTACATTATATTGGCGAATTGGAGCTAGTTCTGTGTCACCCTATGTTATGACTGTTACATGATGAACCGCATCCGGCATAATTATCCATCACTGATCCGGT